AAAACATGTCTGGTACCTTTATATTATGCATTTACTTTAACATTTAAAGTCCTTGCTATTTCACATATTCTGCGCAAAAGACACTTTCTGGCCCGCCCCATTCATAAAAATCAGTGGGAAATTCTGTGAGGGGTGAGCTATTTTGTGTGCAGAATGTGTAAAAAAGAGGGACTTCGAATAATAATCTAAATGCATATATAGAGGTACCAGACATCTATGGCTCTGCAGTGTCCTCTGTGAACAATTATAGGAAAACAGATTGTGTGTAGTTTCCGATAGATGTCTCCGCAAACAACCGCAGTTACATCTGATGGAAAATGAATGCAGAATGCAATTGCAAATGACCTTTGAGGACATCGTTAACTGATGAATGGCAAAGTATAAGACCATTGATAAGTATAAAAAGATTGATTTTGAAGAATTGACATCTAGATTGAAGCATTATGGATGTTTTTAATTATTTTTACTTATTTGTATTGTTTTTATGTAGCATTATGTAGAATATACGCAACTCTAAATTGAATACCGCAATTGGGGGGCGAATTGACCTCATAAAACTTAAATATGGAAATGAATTGTTACATTAAAGAAATTGACAAACTCATGGTAGAGTAAACGCACCAATAAGGGATGTACGTTAGTGAAAGTGTTACTATAGTGACATTTGAAGACTCAATAAGCCACTATAGGAACACATTGCACTATCGTATCTCCACTATTGGCGTGTTTACCCTATTAAAATCAATAGGCTATGATGATGCTATCATTCCACATGATTATATTGAGTGTCTCTGATTAAAAAAGTTTAAAAATAGATAGTTCCCTGAGTCCTTGTACATATTTCATCATATTTTATCAGCAGATATTATGGAAAATATATATTTGTTAAAATGGTTGTAATTGCGCCTAAATGTAGGCATTTTTTTTATATCTCACAGAAAATAATTAATTTAAAACATTGGAAACATTTTAACATACACTGAAGTCTTTTTTTACACGGTTTTTTTTATGCGGTTTTTTTTACACGGTTTTTTTTACACGGTTTTCCACGATTTACACGGTACGTTTTTAACGATTTCTCGACAATGATACAACCTATCGACTTGATTCCAATCACATTATCCGTTTCAAGCTATTTGTAATCGAATGGCATACCTAAAAAAAATCACAATTTTTGGTGTAAATACAGAAATTTTTAAAATATGTCTATATGGACCATATCATGCTTTAATTACAAATGGCATCAAAATCCGATTTTTTAAAAACATTTAAGCATGCGAAAAATCAAAATCTCGTAGGTTTTTTTTACACGGTTTTTTTTTACACGGACCGTATCCCCCGTGTAAAAAAAGACCTGAGTGTATTTAGATAAATAGATTGATTGACAGTTCAATGAAAAATGTCACTTTCAATGAAGATTTTTTTTTTCATAAAGGTATTCCGTTAGCAGGTTCGACAAAATTAAAAGATTGGTCACTTTCAAGTTAAGGGCAACAATCGTTTCAACCCTATGATTCGTATGTTTGAAAATTTATATTGAATGCTATTGAACGTCAATAAATTAAAATTGAAATTATGCAGGAAAAGCTACTGAAACTCGTCAAATCTAAATGCGGATAAATCTAAATTCAATTTCATTATTTTATTTGCTTCTAATTTTTTTTAAACATATATTTTTTTTTCATATCAAGATCGTAAAAAGAAAAATATGATCGCATTTGAAATTCAAACTTCTATAGCATATATATGCTCCCCCCCCCCATCCCTTAAGAATAGCTGCCCCAAGCCCCGCGGATCCTAAATTCGGCACTGGGTACTGTAGACCTCCGTTAATTTGAACGACATTTCGTGCATATTAACTGGGTTCATTTTTAATTTGAGCTTCTAGTAACCCTAGGCTCAAACTAAAAAGTGTTCATATTATAAACTGTCCAATTACCTGGGTTCCACGGTATAGAATTCTCTCTAGGTGGACATATTAGTTCAGAATTACCTCATTACTTAGTGCTAATGTGCATGTGAACTTGCTCTATACTCTGCATATTGAACTCATCACCATCTTGAATGTAGCCGTCTATACACAGCAAAAATAAATTTTAATATTACATCTAATGTTATATGGCTACAAAAATAAACAAATGCAGTAAAAGCAGCGTAATGTCAGTTCATTCGCTGTATTAATGATAATTTTGTCCTTTTTGGCAAGTAATATTACCCATATTTTCGACACGATTGAAGTGCATCGACTTTGATGTGATATTAAAATTAATTTTTTACTATGTAGCAAAGTTCTACAGGAGGGAAATATTGGTATTTTGAATGCCTTTCGGAATTGTAAGCTAATGTCCAGAATCCAATATGACGATTGCCAGTTTCCGAGTGATGTATTGAGGTCAAAAATTCGATGTCCAATCATATGTTGAAATCACATACCCGTCCATGTGCCTCACCCCGGCCTACTGTTGTATATTTCACCAACACAGTAGGCCGGCTGATTGCACTACTTAGGCACGAATATATTTTTAATTGTTATCAGTCCAAAACTTATTACAGCCAACAACCAATTATGCAACTAGTCCCGGACTGATTATTTATAAACTGTTGGAACCCTCTTACTTCAGATGCAATTATATTAACACACTAATGTACCCCTATCATCCCAGCTCAACTATGGTATGGTCGTGATACCATGAAAAGGTGATCGGCAAAGCGAGGAAAGGTGAGCTCGATATGTCCTTTACCAGCTATCATGCTCTGGTAGTTGTACCCTGAGGGTTGTACCCATTTCTGGTGGTATAGTAGTACATGGGTCTCATGGGAATAATATTTGTGCTTAGAGTTTTTTTTTAAATTACGGGGAAATCTTCCACGTCTAATGGCGGTACAAACTCAATATTCGGATAACCACAGCCTGAGCTAAAGCAAATTTAGTAAAAAGGGGAAATTTGGAGGAATTGTTTTGCACATCATGCACTAGTACCACGTGTGGTACTGCAATATCCTAGATCCATTCACCACATCCCGAGCTATGGGACGCCGCGCAAAACAATGCTTGTAAACTGCCCCTCACAGTGCTCGGCCATGACACTATGGGAATCTGCATACAAGGAGGCAGGCAAAATGATTTTCTTACTTGTTCTGCATTATTCTACAAGTTTTAGTATGTATTAGTATTAGTATGTACCTACATTAATCATGAAACATGTTCAGATTTTGATGTTCTATAGGCTCAATCTGGTTTGATACGCACGATCCCGACTTATTCAACGCATCATCTGAACTTTGTAAAGCTTCATGGTGATTTGATATGTGCATTATATTATGGTAACAACAAGATATTTAATGCTCTCCAAACTATGCTAGAGCTAAGATCTTGAAGTGCTACAGGTTCTGATATTTACTCACAAATGAGTGAATGTACAAGTGACAAGAGTGAATGAGTACAGTCAACTCTCCATATCTTGATGTAACTACTATATCTCGATATATGACCACTTTTTCTATAAGTCGATGGTCCCTTTAAACGGTCCAGTAGGCTATTCTTGTTCTATAATTTGATCTTTCCATATCTCGACGGTCCCTTCAATATCGAGACAATGATCCAATTCAAAAACTTACAAGTTTCCCAAAGTTCTGAATATACCGAATATACAAGATAATCCGTTCATGTCAAAAGAAGGAAAATACTCCTAGAATTATTAAACTCAGATCTCGCATTCATCATTCTAAGCCACAAGTTTTCCAAAGTTCAGAATAACAGGAAAATTTGAAAGAACTGCTCATGTTTTAAAAATGTAAAATTGTCCAAGATCACTATTAAGATTAAATGCTAAAAATATACTTCAGTCATCAAACATTCCGCCAAAATAAATTATGCGAAACAGGATATTCCGCCAAATTTAACTCCGCAAAATGTACTCTGGGCCATGTAATGTAATAGGCCATTCCACGAAATGAACTTCCATGAATTGGGGTTCCACGAATTGGGTTTTTACGAATTGGGTTTTCACGAATTGGGTTTCCACGAAATGTCGTACAGCCATAAATTTTACTCAGTCTGTGGCTGTGTATTTGGCAAATTTTAGTAAACGGAACTAACAATTTGGTCAGATCAGGCATGGAAAATCATTTGCATTCTTTTCGTGCATTCATTTACATTCATTTATCCCTAACTTTTTTCATCAACAGAATTCCGCAAAATGATGTGTGGAGTTATAGCTAATAACAAAACCTACAAAAGCTCTGTATAACATTTTGCGGACTGCAGTTGATGAAAAAAGTTAGAGGCAAATGAATGTAAATGAATGCATGAAATGAATGTAAATGATTTTCCATGCCTGGGTCAGATTCAAAAGTGCGGACGATAGGTGAGAACAATTTTGCGTGTTTATTTTATTATTGACATAATATTCCGTAGAACACCGTTAGCTTAAATAGCTAAAATGGCAATTAAACGGAATTTGTTTTAACTGGTACTCCTAGACAGGTGCCCAATGGCTTTTCGCACCTGTGTAGAGGTACCAGATAAACAAAATCTAAATAAACAAGTAATTGCCATACTAACGGGGTTGCCATTTTAGCTATTCAAACTAACGGGGTTCTACGGTATATTAATATAATAAAATAATTAAACAAATAAAACAAGACATAATAGTAATTACATAATTGAGTTACTATCAATATTAACGTAAAATAAATACAGAAAGAGCGATGGATTAGAAGCTTTTATTTAATTCCACTACCCTAATTATACTCGGCTCAAGTATGAGTACAAGACACTGAACAAGTCTGCACATTGTAGACGAAATACATCATGTATCTGTCAAAGATAAGCAATTAAAGCAGTGGAATTAAGTCAAAATAACTAATCTTTCTCTTTTTCTCCATACAGGTACTCGACTATAGACTCCAGCATTCATCGCGGTTTTACAAAATATGACAATTTACTACTAAGTAGAGGTTTTTAATTAGATCATTTCTATTTTTTACCACTTATTTAGCAAAAGAAAAACATCAAGATAAGAGCTATCTACTAGTTCGCATTGAGGACATTCTGTAAAGAGTTATGGAATGAGCGAGTCAATATACGTGCATACAGCACGCCAAAGATTCCAGAACTCGCTTCAATACTATAGTAATGGCTAAAGCAAAAAGCCAACCAAATACACCCTCCGCTGCACCTGATTCGGTACCTTCATCGTCCACTAGTTTGCCTACTGTCTCAGATAACTGCATCGGAGTCAGTAATATTGCTGTAGTGCAACCGAGCCAAGGTACCGCCGTAGATAAGACCGATGCTAGTAGCAGTCATAACATATCGATATCCTCAATTAACGAAGATGAAAAAAATGACTCGAGTGCCTTCGAGAGCAGTGACAGCGAATGCGATGATGAACAGATTAAGAAAGCAATCGAACGCATTCCAAACTCACTTCAACCGGGCAGTCAGCTAGTACAAAACGGGATGCTAGTCGTGAAGGATGACAATAGTTCGCCAGTTTCGGCCCGAGGGCCCAACATCGGTAGCATAGCAGTTCAAAACTCGTCAGACATAACGTTTGGCAACAAGACCTACATCAAAGGTCAGGTAGTGATAAAAAATATTTACCACGATAAACATAACGGTACCGTCAATAATGGCTACAACGAAACAGATGGGGAGCTTGGTGGTTCAAAACAGAGTAAAGGTTTGTATGAAGAGTACCAATGTACCTTACCAGTCAGGCTAAGGCCTAGATGTCCTTTGCTTTACACACACTGAAAATATTATTTCGTTGATTCTGTTAACTCGTTTCGTAAAAATGGCTTTTGTACATAAAACACATTTTTTGTAAATTGTCAAAACATTCGTATTGCCTGTGAATTGCCACATTGCTCATATTACACCCTATTCGTAAAATAGGTATACGAACAGATTGTTGTGCAGACTAGTAAACTGCTGTTCTTCTTGTCTTTCTAATTGCTCATGTTGTGATGTTGGAGGTGGGCTTTCAAGGAACAGATAGTGCTGATGCCAATGGAAGGGAAATTAATGTAAGTAATGCAGGCCTTCTGGATTAAGTAATTACTCAGTACCCGTTGGCTCTCGTCGATCATGCGGAGGGCGGTAATTATCAATTGATTTCATTTGTGACAATAAAATGTAGATACAGGTTCGTACGGAATGAATTCGTACATACAGCGATAACCAAAAATGCAATATTTTTTACTAAGGCTTCGTTGCCTTTTGTTCCATATTCGTACAATGCACGCATTTTCAAAGTTGAGTATACGAAAGATTCGTACTTCTTTCTATAAACACGAACATTTCGTATTTATTTTACGAAACATACGTACCAATATGACAGAAAATCTGTAGCGAGTGTGACAGGTTTAACGACATCAGTTTCGTAAAGTGCACGAATCTCTTTCGTTGCAGATAACAACGAATGGATCCGTACAACTAACGAGCGATTTTCTTGTATAAACGAAACATTATTTTCAGTGCAGTTTTTTAGTCAATTAACATTAACATTGAACTGAACTCACTATCGTTTTCAGATACTTCGACCAAGTGCAACAAACCTTCAGCGTGCCGATATAGTCTCAAAGTCATCATAAGGGATAAGCCTATGCTAAGTGTGATAATACTAATAGCCGTAATGATCATCATCGTTGCACTCATCATCGTTGTATACGTGGCAACGTCAGCAGGTAATCCTATTTATAAGCGAAGCTATGGCGATGGAGATGATGATCGGGTGCACGTCCCGCCAGATACTGGGATAGGTATTTCAGAGTCAATTCAAGTATACTAAGCACATACATGTAGAGCATACACTACCAATAATACCTGTTACACTAATAACACAAGATATCTACGACTTTGGCTTATGTACATAAAATTCAAAATATATTTGCAGATAACGACTTCTTCCCAGATGCAAAACCTCTACGATTAGTGACCCGGAACGAATGGTTGGCTCAACCGCCGAAAGAAAAGCTAACTCCACTGAAATTACCAGTTAATCGTGTCATCATTGCACATACTGCAACGGAAGGCTGTACGACACAGGTGAGCTTGTAAAGTTCAGAACTCATTTAGCTAGCGACTGATCAACCATACATTTAGCCATAGTATATTTAGCATTTCTTAATGTAATCTGATCATACAAGTCTAAAAATTCATTGATTTCTTAAACCAAGACTAAGGACTGGATACTGAACTCCATTGGATTTAAATCAGAAAACATAGTAAATCCAGCAGTAGAAAAGACTCTGAACACCTGCTATGATCTTGTACAGCAATCTTCAATAAGAGGCAATTTTTTGTGAATAAGCTGACAGAACCCAACCCCAGCCAAGTAGTGCAATTCTTTCGAAATGTAATACCTGACTGGGAAAATGCTTTCGGTTAGTCTATGTCGGTTGCTTCACCAATTGGTGATACGACATGCTGATAAAACGGGGAATATATCACAATAGATCTATACCCAACACGGAATTGTATAAAAAAAATCCAGCAGTAATATTATTTAACGTGTATCCAACTTTATAACCCTTTATCCAATATAACAGAATAGTACGCCAAAAAAGTACATAATTCGAAAAATAGCATAATGAATCAACTTGTAATCGCCTTAATTAGACCATGTAAGAAATATGCTTTTTACATGGAATAGGGGAAATGACTCTAATGATGGCCTATGGATCTAAAGATTGGGCCCATTGATATAAAATTCCGGATCTTCAACTTCACATCATCTGGACAATGCAAATAGATATAACTGAATGCTTATGAAAAATAAGGTACACCGGGGCGAGTTGAAATGTGAGGTAAGTTGAAACGGTGTAACTATTAGCGCAAGTGAATAATCACTGTGATTGTTTTTAACAGTATAATATAAACCTTAACGAATCCTATGACTGTCAAATCGGGTATTTAAACAGCTTAGCGTGCTCTTCAGTTTTGTTTATTTTAATTTGTTGTTAAATTAACATCAAACATTTTTCCCCTTTTTTTTTCTCAAAAAAGTTGAATTTTGTGAATTTAATCCAGTTTTATGCACTAGGGAAGCATATGGTGACTAGTTAGAGTGATGATCAGGGCTGGATATACACGGCCTCCACATTTAAGGGGCAATTATAGAAATGTTGATATCATAACTGAGAACTTTGTTTTACATAATATAGATGTGATTTCAAACAATGACCTTTTTTCTCAATAAATTGTACAAAATTCAAACTTGTTGCTTGAAAAAGCATCTACAGCTTTTGTGTAACCTGACTCATAACGATTATACGTTGCATCCATGAATAAGTGAAACACTCTGGCAGCGTTGAGAATTGTACATCTAGAATGTTTCCTTCATTCTCTTGCTTGAAAATATTATCAGCTTCTACGAAGTTCCATTTCTTCTAAGGTCTTTAATTAGTTCTCTCAACTAAACCAAGATCTCAGGCAAACTTCAGGAAAGATTTTGAACCTTTTCTAGGAAGTGTCCTAAAAAAGTAATTTGTATTTTAACAAAACTTCCCGCGTTTCTTCGAAATGCCATGTACTTCTACTAAGTTTGCCGGGTTTCTAAATTTTTTAATGAACTTTTACAAACGTCTTTGAACTAAAACAGTACTTAGGGGCAAGAGGGGCATAGTGAACAGGTGGGGCATAGTGAGCATCCCGTGCACCAGCTTGGACCCGGCCGTTCGGAACAAATTGGTCGGTGGTAGGATCAATATCATAATGATATTGGACCTACTACCAGTTGATTTGTTTCATGCAGCTAGAGATCCAGAGCCAAAATGCGGGATGCTCACTATGCCCCACCTGCTCACTATGCCCCTCATGTCCCTATATGAAGTTTTATAAAGTCCCTCGACTTGCTACGTAATCGGCTTATCCACTGTTCTCCTACTTCTACAAAGTCCCTTTATTTGTTTATATATCGTTGATTTCTCTGAATTTCAGCAAAACTCCCATCTATATTGCATTTTCTGAATTATCGACAAATTTTCTGACATTTAAATAAATCAAATTAAGTAATCATTTGAATGTGAATGAAGTTGACCGAATTTCTACAAAATTGGGTGAACTTTTCTAAAGCTCGCTAATTTTCGACATTGTTTGATGAAGTTTTATAAGTTTTACAAAACTCCCTAAAGTTTATTGAGCTGAAAAATGTTAACGATTTTTTCAAATGTTCTACGTCTTGAAAATCTATGGGATTCGTTAAATTTCATCAACTTTTTCTTTACATTAAAATAGCTTTTGAAGCTATTAAGAAGCTCTCTAAAATCAAATTATCTTAACTTTTTTTTCGCTTTATTTACAAGGCTTTCAGCCATTGGCTGGTTCGCCTTGGGGATATCTTAACTTTTATAAAATGCCCATGACAAGGTCCTTCTGAACTTCTGGTTATATATTGAAATGTTGTACATTTTCACTTGCTCGCAAATTTTAAAAGTAGCGGTGCATACATGTGGAGATACCTTCTCGATCTTGTTGAAGACCAGGGGTTGAAAAACCCCTGGCATCCCTAAGCAGAATAACTCTCAGGTATTAATAGTGAGAATTTTTTGCGGTATCTCTTCCTCTTTTACGCTATCCTGATGGAATGTGATAACGGCATCGTAAAAATGAAAAAAAAGTAAAGGGAGGGGCGTAAAACTGAGACTGATGACTGAGGAGACGATACCTAAATAATAATCCTGAATACGGCTCTGACCATAAAGATTTATTTATTTCGTTAACCGACGTAGACTCGTACAATTAATGAACAACATAGGGCGATAAATCAAATATTTAAAAAGGAAATTAAAATTTGCATGTATACTGCTTTGGGGACACACACCACCGCGTCCTAGCAAGAAGTACGGTCGACTTGTTTCGCGCTCCGTTAATTTGGAAGTTTTCTCGCTATTATCTGACGTAAATAATCAGTTTTTCTCGCTTAGTGATTCCTGGCATAATTCCCGATAAATTTATCAAAAAGTGAGTTTTTTTCTGAGAAGAAAGTGTGTTTTCGGCATCATCGAAAATTGTTTTTGCGATTGGCAATTCGCCAATCATTTTGCGCACCATCGGTGCGTGGTCACGCATACCTGTGCACACGGATCATCGTCATCGAGTGTCAGCATCTGCCTCCACATTCAAACCGCTCATCCATCATCGTGTGTTCAGCTGAGTGCCGAGCTTCATACAAGCACACACCAACGAAGACCGCCCGCACACGCGGATCGAAGATCATCAAAGCTGCGCGTCGCTCCGCTGCTGCTGTGTAAACGCTCGGTGGTAGTAGTATAGGATTATCAGATAAGTTTTTGTTCTTGTTTCTTTCTTTCTCCCATCAGTTAAATTTTAAGTTTGTGTTTCTGTGTTTGTATTTTTTTTTCTCGTGTATTGTGTCCGAGTAATTTTGATTATTGTTGCAGTGGTAGAGCGTTTTTCGCTCCCACTAGTACGGCAAAATGGACATTTTGTCGGAAGACGAAATGGACGTTTTGTCGGAAGATGACACTTCTTTGCCACGCGATGGCAAGAAGGGTCGAAAACGTACGTCTTCGCAGAAGACAGGTGATGCCTTCCCTGGTTCGTCATCTCAGTCTGGTAATGGACAGGGACAGATAAGCCCCCGATCGCGAGCCTACCCAGAAGACTCGACTGGCCCATGGGTTGTTTACTTTCAGCCCAAAACGAAACCTTTGAATGTAATGCAAATTACTAATGATCTGACGAAGTGGTTCTCGGCCGTGACCGAAATCTCGAAGGTGAGGTACAATAAACTTTGCGTTGTCGTCTCTAACCTGAAACAAGCTAACGAGATTGCTGCCTCCCAGCTCTTTACACTCGAGTATAGAGTGTACATCCCAGCTCGTAATGTGGAACTCCTTGCTTCCCACGGTTGAGATACTGGAAGTCCAGAAGCTGAACTCAGTATCTTTCAGCGAGGGTAAAAAGAGCTTTACCCCCACAGACTCGTTTCGGGTGACCTTTTCTGGTTCAGCCCTTCCTCACTACATCGAGTTGGGAAAACTTCGGCTACCTGTGCGTTTGTTTGTTCCTCGGGTCATGAACTGCCAAAACTGCAAACAGTTGGGACATACGGCCTCTCACTGTGGCAGCAAGGCACGCTGTTCCAAATGCGGGGAGAAGCACGAGGATGGCGCCTGCACTGTCACTGCACCAAAATGCGTGTACTGTAAGGGAACTCCTCATGGTCTCTCATCGTGCCCGGCGTACAAACAACGCGCGGAGAAACTAGAACGCTCTCTTAAGGAGCGTTCCAGGCAGTCTTTTGCAGCAATGCTAAAAACAGCCACACCATCAACCAACGACAAAAATACCTTTGCTGTTTTGTCTGATGACGAGTCTGACTCTGACTTGGCTGAGGGGGGAGTTTCTTTCAGTTTTCCGGAAGGTTCTGCACGGAAACGAAAACGCATCCGTTCGCGGAAAGTTGCAGATAAGGAACCCCAAATCAGCTTGCCCAAATCAAGGAGTGATGGAAAAAAGGAAGTTTCAACTCCTCCTGGTTTCCGCAGAACTGATTATAACCAGAATTTTCCATCTCTCCCGGGGACATCAAAAACCCCTGATGGCCCATTTTTAAGAACAGAAGCCCTTCTTCATCCGGGTTGTTCTCATTTGATAAAATTGTGGACGATATTCTCAAGTACCTCAATATTTCTGATCCTCTCAAAAGCATTGTTCTGGCAATGCTTCCTTCTGTGAAGACCCTCTTGAAGCAATTGACATTGAAGTGGCCCCTCATTGCAGCAATCATTTCCTTCGATGGATAATTTTCCAAACGAGGTCGGGGATTTGATCACTGTTCTACATTGGAATTGTCGAAGTCTCATTCCTAAATTAGATTCTTTTAAGTTTTTAATTCACAATAATGATTGTGATGCATTTGCTGTTTGTGAAACTTGGCTCTCTTCAGATATCGATCTTCCTTTTTATGATTTTAACATTATTCGACTGGATCGTGAGGATTCGCGTGGAGGAGGGGTACTTTTGGGGATCAAAAAGTGCCATTCCTTCTATAGAGTGAATCTTCCACAATTTCCAGGTAT